GTGAAATATCGGATCCCTTCTCGCCGCAGCTACTGCGTGGGGATGTGCGGGGACGGCGCCAACGACTGCGGGGCTCTGAAAGCGGCCGACGTCGGCATCTCGCTGTCGGAGGCGGAGGCGTCGGTGGCCTCGCCGTTCACCTCCCGCGTGGCCAACATCGAGTGCGTCCCCACCGTCATCCGGTGAGCTGCCCGGAGCCCTGTGGTGGGGGATGAAAACCAAGGGGGGGGTCTCATGAGTGCCTCTGTCCCCTCTTTGGGACAGCTCACGGGAAGGGTGTTGTGGCTGGTGGGGGGGTCTTTGTTTCTCTCCGCAGGGAGGGCAGGTGCTCACTGGTCACCTCCTTCGGCGTCTTTAAGTACATGGCCCTGTACAGCCTGGTGCAGTTCGTGTCCGTCCTGCTGCTCTACACGGTGAGGCCCACGGGTGCCTGCGATGCTCAGGGATGCCTTGGGGTCCCCTCTTCCCGGCTGGGTTTTAACCTGTCCCCTTCCGAGCCCCGCGCTGAGAGCGGCCGGTCTCTCCTCCCCAGATCAACACCAACCTGAGCGACTTCCAGTTCCTCTTCTTCGACCTGATCATCACCACCACCGTGGCGGTGCTGATGGGTCGGACCGGTCCTGCCCAGGAGCTGGGAGTGGAGCGTCCCCAAGGGGCGTTGATCAGTGTCCTCGTGCTGGGCAGCCTGCTCCTCCAAACGGCTTTGCTCATCACCGTGCAAGTCCTCAGCTACTTCATCACCGTCTCGCAGAGCTGGTAAGGGACTTCAGTGTGGCTTCAGTGATGGGAACGGCGCAGAGGATTGCAGCGAAGCCCGGGTGCTTGTCCTTTGGTTTTGGCCAACGAAATGCGACCAGCTACCTCGGAGCAGACGGCTCCTGTGTGCTCGTGGAGAACGAGGGGTCGGCATTTAGACCCTCTCCTTGCCTCTCTCTTCCTCTGACCCCCTGCCTTCTCCCCTGCCTGGCTCAGGTACGTGCCGCTGAACAGCACGGTGACGGCTCCCCAGAACCTGCCCAACTACGAGAACACGGTCCTCTTCTGTGTCACGGGCTTCCAGTACCTCATCCTGGCCATCGCCATGTCCAAGGGGTACCCGTTTCGGGAGCCACTCTACACCAATGGTGAGGACGATGCTGGCCACGGGGACGAAGAGAGACTGCAAACCTTCATCCTCCTCAACTCTCTTCCTTCTCACCCTCAGTGCTATTCTTGGTGGTCCTCATCCTCCTTTTTGGCCTCATGATATGGTTGACCCTCTACCCGCTGGGCTTCCCCAAAACCCTGCTGAAGCTGCAGGGCATCAGTGACTTGAACTTCAAGCTGCTGCTGCTGGGCATCGCCGTGCTCAACTTCTTCGCTGCCTTCGTGCTGGAGGTGGGACAGCCCGGGGTGGGCGCTGGGCACACGAGGGATGCGTGTTGTCCTTTTGGGGCTGTCCGAGCAACCCCTTGTCCGGGAGCCGTGGGCACAGAGGGAGCAGGGCTCACCTTGGCGTCAGCTCTGCCCTCTCCTCGGGATCCACGGCCTCTCCAAAACCTGTTCTCCCCCATCCTTTGCTGCAGACCGCCCTGGACCACGGCTTGCTCAGCTGCCTCCGCCAGCTGCGCCAAAAGAAAGCATCCAAGAAGCTTTTCAAGAGGCTGGAGAAGGAGCTGAGCCAGCAGGAGCAAAAAAAAACCAAGATGTCCATCGCCGTGAGATAGCAGGCGTCGGGCTTCCCTCCTGCCTGCTCTGCAGCCCAGCACAACCTGCCAGCCCTCGGACGCCGTCGCTTATTTATTTGTCCTGGTAAACGGAGGGATGCGGCGGGCAGGCTCCCGCGGGGAGACCCTCAGCATCGCGGCTGTGAATCCGCACGCACCGGTGCCGCAGCTGTGGCCGAGAGGAGATGCTGGAGAAGCAAACTGGGAGAGAAGGTGTGGAAGAAGAGGAGAAACGATCCCGCTCAGCTGTTCCTCCAGGACCTCTCCCACTCCCGTGCTGGCCTCGGACCCATCTCCCCACGCTGGGCACCGGTATCATTCCCTTTTCCTCTCCTGGCTGGTCAAAACCACCAAGATGAGGGACCCTGATGTTTGGGTGGTGAGGGCACCCACCCCAGCCTCATGTCTCTGCTCACTGTGAAACCCCCCCCGTGGCCGCCCTAGATGTGTAGGAACTGTTTACAAACCACCCCATCCCCGCCTTGCCAAGGATGCTGCTCAGCCCCAGCGCCTGGGGACCAGCCACAGGCCCCCTCTCCGCTCGCGATGCTCCTGCAGAGCACTCCTGCTTTCGGATGGGACCTTTGTAGCGTTAAAAAAAAACACCCACTCTGAATCTCTTTATTTTTTAACTTCTACTCCAGCGCATCGGGGTGTAAGCGCAGTCGGGAGGAGGACGTACCGCTTTCGGTTTCCGTATGCTGCTGTCGTGAGCCTTGTCTAATAAATTAACACTATTTTCTTGGCCGCTTGCTTGTGCTGCCTGGCGCGGACGGACTTGCTTGGGGCAGGACGGCGTTGCCGGCGCGGGTGAGTATCGGACGGAGTTGGGGAGCAGGTGGAAGAGGTTTTAGGGTCACCTCGTTCTCCGTCTGGGCTGGACGACGCTGTCCTCGATGCCTGGAAACAAGAGAGTGAACGCGGGGATGGCACCGCTGGGATTTCAGCAGCCCAAACCGAGCACCAGCGAGCAAATAACCCCCGAGCCAGTTTCCAGCTGGAATTTCCTAGAAAATAATAAGAATTGCTGGAAAAACCCAAGCGTCCTCGCCAAGGCTGCCAAACCCCACTCCTTCAACGGAGGAGAAGCCAGCAGATGGAGATGCCGCATCCCGAAAGGGGAAGAGCCCGATCCCCAAGGAGGGGGAACGCGCTGCCTCCGAGGGTCTTCTCGGCCGCCTCCGAGGGTCTTCTCGGCCGCCTCCGAGCCCCGCTCCTGGATTCAAGCGTGGAAAGTCTGAACCCCTCCGAGCGGCGGCGGCGCCTCTGCCCTCCGGGAGCTGGGGATTAGATCAGGAAATGAGGCACAAGCAGAGGTAAGAGGTTTCCTGAAATCCTAGCCAAGGCTGGAGTTATTAAGCCAGGCTTCCTGAGCTTAAAAAAAAAAAGAAAACACACACGCACACACCCCTCGGAGATTTTTTGCCTGGTCTTGGCAATTTTAAAAGCAAAAGGGAGCTGGGCGCGAGGGACCCGTTTGCAGCTCGGTTCGCTTTTGCTTGGCTGGTTTTTCCAGGGTGTTCCTGGCCTCAGGGGGTTTTGCAAAGTCCATTTAATTATTAACAGGCAGCTCCTGCCCTTAGCTAGAGGTTAACAGGGCTGGGGACAAGGACAATGCCGGATTTCGGGCAGGCGGAAGCTTTATGGGAGCAACTGCTGGATGTGTTTGGAGTCGCTGGGGGGGGTTTATCCAGCCTGCAGACTGGAAAACCGAATTCGATTTGAGATGAGAGCACCTTAAAAAACCCCTCTGCTTCTCTCCCTGGGCTGAAACTCTTGTTTTCTCCGTGTTTTTAGAGCAGTCAGACCCGCTCCTGGCTGCAGAAGCCCCCGTACCTCGGCACAGCCGGCTGTGGGCTCAGTGCAGTGGGTGCAATCCTGCCCCACGGCTGAAGAATCTCGGCCGTCGCCTCGCCGTGCCTCATCCCCATCCCTGTCCACGCCGCTGGCCATCTCCGGAGAGCTTTTCCCTCCATCCCAGCCCTCCAGCACTCTCTGCTCGCTCCATCGCTGTTTTGAACATGCCTAAAATTTGCAGTTTTTTATCCCCCAGTGCTGAACTGGGTGTCGCTGCCGGGCTCGGGGGTTTTAGGGGAGCATCCCCAGCCTCGCCGGGATGCAGCCGGCATCCCGTGTCCTCCAGAAAGCCGCCAGCGAGCCGGGGAAAAGAGGGCCCCACGGTCAGCAATGCTGGCTCCGCCGCCGCGCAGGGGCTGCAGATCTGCTCCGGCATCCTCAGCCTGGGTGGGGAAAAAAGGGGAGTTTTTTATTCCACACACACCCCCCCCCTCCATCCCAGGATAAAGCTTTAAATCTGCCGCGGGTTTGCAGCATCCTCTCGCCTTGGGGGGCAGATGGAGCGCTGACGCCAAGCTCGGAGTCTGGAGGGGTGATGGGGATGCCAGGATCCCAGATTTTGGGGGGTTTGTCCGAGATCACAGAGCAACGCCCTGACATGATCCCTTCATCTCGCCCTCCAGCAGCGCGAAACCCAGCCGAAACTGTGCAGGCTGCGCAAAATCCTCCTCTCTCCTTTTACAACCAGTTCAAAATTCATCCAGCTGGGGGAAAAAAAAAACCAAACACTTAGCGCTGACGACCGTTGCGTCGATATGTGCTTGGTGAATTCTTTTGTTAATTATTATTCTTTTTTCCCCCAAGCAGGCTGCAAGCGGGGAGGAGAAGGGGCCGGCGCAGGTGCGGCGTTAGGACCCAGCGGAGCCCCCATGTTGGAGGTAGGAGTGTGGGGTTTTTTTTTTAACTCTCATTTCGGAGTTTTGGAAAGCAAAGAGAGAGGAGAGACCAAGGCGGTGGGCAAGGGCAGGACCAGCACCAACGCCCAGAGCGGTAAGGAGCCGGGCAGAGACCCCCCGCCCCCAGGGCAGAGACCCCCTGCCCCGGGCGGGGATGCTGGGGACC